CGCGAGCCCGGCCGGCCGGCGGGGGAGATGTGCTCCGGCGGCGGCGGATCGGTTTCTCGGGGTTTGACCAGCTGTCCCGGGCTAACCCTGCTCCTCGCTGAAGATGGAGGAAGTAAAAACAGGATTACCCTTAGCTACGGCTCCACCGCCTTAGTTCCCACCACCCGCCGCAGTGCACAAACACACGTTAGGCACAGGACAGAAAGCCCGAGAGAGGACACACTGACAGTAAACACACACAAAAGGGTGATGGGAGTGTGGTACTGCATGCGCTGCTGAGGTAAATCTCCGTTTGGCTTTGGCGTGGGGAAGAGCAGCTCTTGTTTTATTTGTCTTCTGGTTCCGAGGTTGTCGAGATAAATGTGTGTGTGTCTGGATTTGCAAAGGTCGGGGGGCGGGGAGCGTTTTCAAAGTTGAGTGTAATTATCTGGCACCTCGTTTTGCACGGTAATGCGATCAAATGACTTGTTGCTGTTAAGCAGGGAGGAGGAGGAGGATGGTAATGTGGGTGTTTTTCTCCGGGAGCGATGGCTGGTGGGGATGAGTAGGGTCCTAATGTCTGTAAAGGGCGCCCAGGGAACCGGGCTGGCGACGGTGTCCTCTGCCTTCACGTGTCGTCCCCTCCTTGAGATCTGTTTCTGGGATGTTAATCGATTAATCAGTTCTCATCTCTCTAGCTGTCATGGATTTGGACTTGTTTGGCTTTGTTTTAACTTGAATTCCAAGAAAGATCGGGTAGCTTGGCATAGATTGCAGCTGTCCAGAGAGAAGGTAATAGCCAGATCCTGTTGGAATTTAATAAAAACAAACAAACAAACAAAACAAAACAAAACAGGTATGACACATGCAAAAAGGCAGCAGTTAAATCACTTTGACAGGTTCCTTCCAGGATGGGCGAAAGAGATGGAATTAAGATTTCTTTCTTTCTCCATTTGCCAAAAACACAGTCTTGGGAAGTTGGCCTAGGACCTAGGTTCCTCGCTGGGTTCTGCCTGACTGTCCCTCCCCTCTAACCCCCCCACCTTTTCTTTCAGTTTTCTTGTCTTAGCTTTTGGTCGATTCTTAAAGAACCGGTGGATCAAGTTTTTTCTCTTCTTGTTAATCGCATTGCTGTGGCACTGACTGACCTCTCTCTCTCTCTTTCTCTCTCTCTCTCTTTTTTTTCCTCTTTCCTGAAAGTACGTGGTGCCATTCCTGAGTGACTTTTCCTACTAGACCATCCCAAAGGGACGAGGGGGAGGGGAAGGAGGAGGAGGAGGAGGAGGTGGAGGAGGAGGAGGAGGAGGAGAAGGGGGGTGTTCCTTCTCTCTCATTTCTTGGTTTTGTTTATCAGCCGATCTGTTTGCTGGATTTGGGCTCCGAATGACCCACCTGTAAAGTGCTTTTCCTTCCTCCTCGCCTTGAACTCTGCAGGGGGCTTGGCTTGGAGGGGGCCAGGGAGGGGAAGAGAGAAGGGGGGAACACAGAAAACTTCTTTCTCTCCCTCTCCGTGTATCTTCAGCCCGACATTGTCACCTCCTCTTGGAGGGGTTTGAAGAAGCTGAGATCTCCCGACAGAGCTGGAAATGGTGATGAATCTTTTTTAATCAAGGGACAATTCCTTTTGTATGTACATTTCGTTTCTCTTTCTCCTTTTCTTTTGCTGGCTTTCCTTCTCTGAGGGTTAATAACCATTTCATTGATGGGGCAGACTTCTTTCGCTTCTCCCTGACATTTCTTTCTTTTTTAATATGTGTGTGTGTGTGTGTGTTTAAATGTGCACATTTTTAAAGAGATAAACTCATTTGTAAAATAGCTGAAGAAACTGCTCCCCTTTTAAACTTTACGGATGCCTTTCTTTAACGCCTTATGTAATCATAATTTGAAAGAATTTGATAACAGTACAGCAGGTTGAAATTTAAGTGCTATGTAGTGGCTGAGTTGGGAATTTGATCTGATTATTCCATAAAGAAAGAAAAGTTTTGTGTGGTTTTTTTTGGGGGGGGGGGTAGGGAGGGTGGTGGTGAAGAAGGGGAGGGGAGGGAGAAGGGAAGTGGTTTTGGAGACAAGTGAAGCTGCCTGTTTTCCAGTAAGTAATGGAGAAATTCCAGGAGCCAGGGCTAAATATACTTGGCGATCAATACAGAAATGGCTCATTGTGAATAATTTAGCTGCTGGTGCAGTGAGAGTTTTGAAACTAAAGGCAAAAAGGACCAGGGCCAAAGGGGGAAAAAATAAGTAAAAAAATCTCCTCAGGACATGTCAATTCTTTAAACTTTGTCTTTCAAAGAATACAGTTAGCTTATCGATCTTTTCATTATGTGAAATCAAAGCTAGGGGGTGTCATCTCATACAACTTTTGTTTCTGAGAATTAAGTTCTTGTTTTGCGTCATGGGTGCATGAGAATAATTCCCCAAACTTTAAAAAAAGCGATTCCCTTCCCAACAGCAAAAAGTTTATGAAATTTTCAAAATGGGACCGTATTAAGTAAGCTTGGCATTTGTATCCAACCCTGGTCTGGCAGGAAAGTAAGGTTACATCGAACAGGTGCTCACCCAGAACTTGGGGTTAGGCTAAAACGCCAATACAAGTTCAGGAGTTGGGTAACGGCTGCAGAAATCTTAGAGACACACTTGGGCACGAAGTTTTTGTTTTGTTTTCTTATGTTTGTTTGTCCTCCCCCCCCCCCTTAGAACATGATGAACCAACTTGCAACAATTGTGAATAGAGCTATCTGTATACTAGGGGAGTCCTCAAACTGCAGTGCGATTGTGGGAAGCAGTGAGGGGTAAAGCTGGCACGTTGGAGATGTGGCCCCCTAGTTTTTTGTCGTTTTTTTTTTTCTTCTTTGAACCAAGTAAATTCTGATGAAGAGAGTCATTCCTTTCTTGCTACAGCCCATCTCACAGCACACTTATCTTTCCTATCCTATCTCCAGCAGGAATCAGATCATTTGCAGAAAGAGTTCAGTGACTTGCAAATGAGCACATACAGTACACTGTAGTATGTTTCCTGGGCACAGGTTGCAGCAGCAGCAACATGGGCTAACTGCTTGGAGCTTCAAATAAGTTAAGCATTTCAGGGCAGAACTGAAAGGAATCATTGTGTTAAGGGTCTAATCTTTTGTATTGCAGCACTGCACTTTGACTATGGAAACAGAGGCTATCGATGGCTATATAACGTGTAAGTATTCATTCCCATTAATTTTCTTTATTGCTAATAAAGTTATGCTTCTGTGTTACCTGTACTTGAACTCCTCAATTGTAAGTCTTTATCACAGATTCTATGCTCTCATTTTCTATCTGTTCACAACTTCACCCTTAAAGTGAGTTTGGTAAAATAGCAGCATACAGTGAAATAGAAATATACTTTACTATATTAAAGATAACATGGAAATCAGTAGAGCTTAGCAGATCCACACTTTCCTGGTTGATTACTTTACCTAAGTTTACAATTGGTCAGGTTACATACATGTCTACTAATATGGTGTGTACTAAATATTTATTGCATTGTATAGCCTACGTTATCGGACTCATATTCTGAAAGAGAATTAGCGTCTAAATTCTCAACTTGTTTGGTTAAAAACAAACAAGTTGACATGTTTTTAGCCAACTCTCCTTTCAAACATCCAACTTTCTGATAGCCAGCATTTTAGAAAATGCTCATTATAAATACTGTATGTTCAATGATTAAATTAGGTTTTAAAAGAACTTTAGTTTTTTAAACTAAAGAATACTTTAGAAATCAACTCGTCCCAATTCCTCTTACGTTACAGTTACGATTATTGTGATAGTGAAATTTTGTCTTTTTTTTGTGTGTGTGGGCTGGTTGTTGCTTTTTGTCATTTCATTCATTTACTATATATTTCTAAATTATATTGCCTTACAGTTTCTTTTAAGGAAAAACATATTACATTATAATTTCAAGGCTATTCGTGCCACTGCATGAGACAAAGTTGGTAATTAGATTTTATGTGACAATGAACAGAGACCAAAAGATTTTATTTTGTGAAAGCAGGTGACAATGAGCTTTCACCTGAAAGGGAGCACTCCAATATGGCAATTGACCTCACCTCAAGCACACCCAATGGACAGCATGCCTCACCAAGTCACATGACAAGCAGTAAGTCTTCTTTGTATGTTTTTCCCCCTATTTCTCTAGCAACAGCCTTGAATTTGTTAGGTCTGTGGGGTCCTCTCACATTGTGGTGTAGCTGCTGTTATAGATTTTGCTAAAGAAAGAACAACAGAGATTTATTCCTGTTCATTCCAGTATCATAAAACATGAGTCTGCTTACTAGTCTGAACTATCCCAAGGTGGCATTTGGGAGCTGGTGCTTACCTGTATCAGGTAAGAAATGTTAGGCTTTTCTGGTTATTGTTTTGACTTGTCAGGTTTATGACTGGATTTGTTGTTGTTGTTGGATTTTAAAAAAAGATGGAAACACGTCACTTCCAAAGGACTCTTCACAGTAAAAAAATGAAATAATTTTATATTGTTTTGGTACAAAGCTAATCCATCCATCAGTGGTAGAATTGCAGTGTTGCTTTTTTTTTTTTTTTATTTAACGTGAAAGTTTTTCCTCCAAAGTGTTGGTAGTGAAGTGTAATTGAAAATTTGTAGAAATCATTTACAGCCATTTCTCTAACAAAGTGAGAGTTTTTTGTTTAGGATTGTCCAGAGAAGAACTGAGAGAATTTGGAAGGATGTTTTGAACTTATAGGCATAGACAGTTTTGGCTACTGTTTTTGATGAAGAGTCATTCATTGATGTAGTAAACACTTTTGTGTAATGAGAGAACAACTTATATGCTATCAGGGACAGAGACAAAACACTTTAAGAATATGGTTTCTTTTCTCTTATAATGTTTTATCAGTTTAGTTATCGAGTGCAAATGCTCTATTATTCCTACTCAAACGTTATTTGAAATCTTGTGTTTCCCTTACAGTTTTGGTATATGTTATATTCTCATATAGAAATGATGACTGACTTATATTTAACTTTATTTAATTAGACGTTTTCTATTTGGTTGATATGTGGAGGAAAGGCATTTTCTTTCCTTTGTAAAAAAGTGAAGGTTTAATAACTAAAGAAAACTGAATCATCGACTGAATTATGAGCATATCTCTAAGTTAATTCTCATTATCTGAACAGAACAAAATTTCCTTTCCAAGTCCCTCTTTCAGTTCTCAAAACTTAAGGTTACTATAAACCTACTAGCTTTGTAAGTAGTAAAGACTACTGAATTATAAGCAAAAGTATATAGAGTACTATTGAATACATTTTGCAACTCATTAACTTTAAGTAATTCTAGCTATTGAATTTTTTATTAAACTATGTGAACTTACTTATTTAATAGTTTTCTTTCTTTTTATTAATGAGAAACACTTCCTAGGAAGATTTCATTCTAGAAGCAGTCATTGAAATTCCTTTATCATGTAGAAAGAAAAATTAATAGGTAGTAAGTGAATGTATATTAAATTATAGTGCTAATGTCTTATAATGGATCTTGTAGCATTAACTTGTTTTATTTTTTGCTAGTTGGCTATTGATTTGATAAAAGTTACACTATTAATGTAATGTAGGCAGTACAATTTTTACATTTTAACATTTTTACAATCTTACTAGTTCTTTGGTAGAATAGATTTTTACTTCTCAGATAATCTTTGTATGATTTCCTAAAGGGTAAAGACAGATGCATTTGCAATTTTGGTTAGCCAGCTATTTAACGGTTGGCTTTAGAAGCATTGAATATAGGGGATATATATTAATATTAATCATAAGACTTTACTGATATCCTCTAGCCACCACTATAATATCAGCAGGAAAAATGTTTTGTTTTGTTTTGTTTTTTCATTGGTTAATTGCCTCCTTTATTTGTGCATTTGATTCTGGTTGAGCAAGTACTGGCTTCAAAAAGGTAGTTCACCCATTTATTTTAAATATACAGTGCAGAGTGCAGGCATGATCCGTTTGAACAAATAAGAGTTGTGCTTTTGACGTTTGGGCTTTTCACACCCATTAACAGTTAAATTATGTTTGGTAAAGAGGTTTTTTGTTGTTGTCTTTTTAACTTACTAGCCCGTGGCAATTTCACGTTAGTATGGTTTTTGGCTAAGCTGCACGTGTTTTCGAGTCCTTTTCCAAAGCGTTGCAGGTTAAATATGTTGGCTCCCACTTCAGAGCTGTCTTGCATCCTTTATGTAGCCTCTATTTACAGTATCTAGGTTACCCACTTAGGTGTTAGATGGAGAAGATACCCATTTTTTCCTTTCTGTTAGATCTAGGGGAATATCAGCATTTGAGATTGCCAAAGCAAAAAGTGGTAGAGAGAGAGGCTCTTGTCTAATTTGAACAAGAGACTTAGAATCTGTCACTCATATTTTTCTATCACTTGAAATAATTTGTGTGTGTGTGTGTGTGTGTGTGTGTGTGTGTCCTGTCAAATCACTTGTGTCTGAGACTACTGGTTTTCGTAAATGCCTTTACACACATTCTTGTCTTTATTAAGTGAGAAGAACTTAATTGATTTTCTGCATTTTTTAATATCTTCATGTATACTTCCTGAAGGGCTGTTGGTTCCAAAAAACAGAATTGCAATTTTGATTGAAAGTATTAAAGCCAAAAGTAAATGTGGAAATCTTTCAGATAGACAGCCTGCAGTAGCAAACAGGAGAGGACAGGAGTATACGTGTAAGAGGGAGAGTTATTTTAAAACAGTTTAGAAAAAAAAATGAAAGAATTAAAACCTTTGATTTTTAATAAAATAACTTCTATTCTGGCAGTAAAGTATTGATAAGATGTGATAGCCACCTTATTTTGGCTTTAGGAAAGTGGCCAGTTGGACTATAAGGTCGTAGTCGTTTGTTTTGGCTATTTGACGACTACCCTGAGATGAAGAGTATATGTACAACTTGCTGCCAGCTATTGTATAATAAATAATGACAGCAGCTATCATTATTTGACAGGGCTAGAAGAGAGCATCGGCGACTTGGGAGAGAACTAAAAATGTTACCATGCCTGACAGTTTTGGGTTTTAAAATTCAGCAAATAAGATAATCTTAAAAAGAAGTCAGAAGTATTAGTTGATCTTAACATTTTATAATGACTGCATCCTCTGTTTTAGAATGAGTTTTCTTAGAGAACTTTAGACTTTTTCTTCTGGAATAAGGATCACTTTGATAGGAAGATGAGCATTGTTGCCTGAGATCATTAGTGTACATGTCGAGTCTGCTGACAACCTTCGGTGTCAGGGATGACAGTATATGCCTTGATGGCTACTGGAAATACACAGTGTTAAGTTATTTTAAAAATAGCTTCTGGAAGTTAAGAATCTGAGACAGACAACTCAGACAGAACAATATAAAAATAATCCATATTGTATTTCGGCCTCTCAGATGAGTCTTGCTTTGTGATTCCTTCTGTTTCTGGGTTAGCGCATTTCCAATTCTTGCAAAGTCGCTTCAGTATTGGTTTCAAACTGGTCTATACCTGCTGCTGGCTATATTGAAAAACAGTTTTAAGGTTCAAGAAATTGTAATTAATTATATTTTTCTTGTCATCTATTATAATGCCAGTGAATAAATTTTATTTGGATTTAGTTAATGGTATGAAATACAGCCTGATACAAACTTTGTTTCTATGACTTTAAAATCATTACATGGATCAGGTTCACAGTCAATATTATTTATCAGTTTGATGGCCAGATGGCATGTATGGAATTGGAAGAAGTAGTCATTCTAGTAATTCTAGTTTTACTCTGACCAATAATCAGGTTACGGAATCTAGTTTATCCTTTTCAAAGTGCTTCACAATTATTTATTTTTTTTCTTAGTTAGTTTCCATTTTTAGCAGCAGAAGTATATTATGATTTTCACTTTTCGTATGTGGAAATGGAAGCTAAAGAAATCAGTCGGCCTTTTGGGTCCCTTGGCAAAAGGAAGAAGTTATCAGGATTGGGACATAAAACTGTGATATTATCTTGTAGGTTAGTTGGATTACTTAACTGCTATTTCTCTGTAATGTCATTATCTCGGGATGCCCACCATGTCCAATACTGACCCAGGTTTTAGTGACAAAAGCAGTATTACAGAAGTAGAGGGTTATTATGAGGGTGGAGTAACATCAGATAATCTTGCTCTAGTGCTCTTTTAAAAAGTAACTTATTTGGGGGGCTCACCAGCTTTCCAAGTTGTCTTCTGTAGCTTAGTTTGGCAGTCACTCTTGGTTGGATTTCCAGAGGATACACCCTAATATAACATCAGGTGGACTTAATGTAAAAACTCACTGTTTTGAATTGTGTAGTACTGAAGTTTGTGTTAAAAACGTATCTTAGTTTTTACTTGTTAGGAAAAAATTTTAAAGTTTGATTTTATTTCTTTACACCTCATGAGAGCTAAGTGTTATGGCTATGTACCAAAAGAAAAAAAAACACGGAAAAGGAACCAAAGGAAGTATATGCAAGGAATTAACAGCAAAAATGCTGTATTTTTTTCTTTGTACCTAATTTCTCCCTTCCCCCCATTTTTAGGCTGTTTCAGAGTAGGGATAAAGATCTGTCTTTGAGAAACAAAACAACTTATTACAGGAGCATTATCCATATTGCCTCTATATTTTTCCAAATCGGCCTTCCTCACTGGAAGAACAGTTTTTTAAAAACGGAACCAGATTAATTAGGATTTATTGGGAGCCTTCCTTCCAGCCCTAGTGTTTTGGGATCTCTGGGTCTAATGCCCTTCTCCCCTAACTTTGAATATTGATATATGTTGACCTTATTCTGAAAGATCAATAGTAGCGTCACAGTCCTAACATGAGTAAAATATGTTGTTTTCCTTTGCTTTTTCCTTTATATCCCTTTATATCAAATATGCCTATTGATCTGGTAGTCTTTTTCCTTTTGTGAATTAATCAATACCGAGAATATTTCTGCTTTGAAATAGGTAAGGAGTATTTTGGAACTATTTCCCTTATTACAAATGTTTAATCACTACTGGAGTGAGAGAAGGGAAGGGGGCATGATTTCTGAGTGTACCTAGGATGCTCCTAGCATTACGTTATATGCATCCATACCATTTCACTTCGTTTCCACAACAGCTCTGTGAGATTAATAGTTCCTCTGTTTT